ACTGATTCAATTTCTAAATGTAACTGCTTGATCTGTGAAAGCATAAGTGAAAGTGTGGACAATCAGCCAGTTCCTGAAGAAGAAGTCATGAAGAGAGATTGGGATAAAGACTAGCGATGCTAAATATGTAGTTGAATTAGAGAAAACGACTGTGGAAATAGGGGGGTAAAATAAAAATAGGGGTGGGGAGGGGATGATTTGGTTAGGTGGGTTGTGAAATTGGATTGTTGTGAGGAGGCGGATGAAAGTATGTTTGTGTTTGAGTAGTAGGTGGAATTGCACATTAATGAGCTGAAGTTGTTAAGGGAGTAAATGATTGTGGAGAAAGTTGTGGTGGTTGAATTTAGCGGGAATGGACGATGGTAGTGCTTGTGGTTGTGAGGATGATGAACTTGACTGCAAACGTTGTGTGACTGCAATAGGAAAAAGGATGAGAGGTGGATGTGGCAGTGGTGGAAGTTGGAGGGAGAGGAGGACGAGGGTGAGGGTGATGATGATTAGGGAAGGGGGAGGCGAAGTAGATGTATGTTGTGATTATTAAGATTGACTGATGCAGTGAATTCGTCACAATACACTTGGCACACTAAGGACTTCTCACCAGTATGAAGTCGCTGGAGGGTTATGCAGGCACTGTTGGTTGAGATGCACTTCCATCAATATGAGCTGCCAAATTGCTTTTCCACTGAATGTACTCTCAGTCGGGAGAGAACTCCCCCTCTCCTTGTTTCATTCCCCTAAACCCCGCATTTGGGGATGGCCCACTCAACCGCGGGTGCTACGTCATGACGCTTTTTTCAGTATCTTGACCAAATGAATAGGAATTATTGATTAATGGACTTTTTTTTTCTCATTATCGTTGGCATAAATTTGTGACAAGTTTTCATCACAGACTTGTACGTGTGAAATTGCACCAATTAGATGTCCATATATTGAGATCATAGAGTGCTCATATAATTGAATGATGTTAAACAATTTAATGAATTTGAGTTGAAATATATATTGACAAATACAGCTTAATGTCGTGAGCTGGGGTGTGTGATAGACTTACCTCCACGTGGTGCACCCTGGGCAACGTATACTCATACGACAAAAAAGTCTATTAATCGGAAGTTGACTTCCTACTTCAAACTATCATCAACCCATTATATGTCATATTCTACCCCTTCCACAGTACTCACCTCACCTTTTTCACTCTACCTTTGTACATTTTTGAAATACTCTTCTGTTCTCCTTATCCATTATAGCAATAATATATTCTAGGAGCTCCTGTGCATTGATATAATTTTGCTTTATCAGCATGTCCAGCCAATCGGCACCAATCTCCACGACCTTGGTTTCTTTCACCTTGCACAAATGAGGCTGACTCTCAAGATTTTGGAGATAAATCTGACTTTTTCCTTTTTCGAGTCTCAACATGTTCATTGAGGCAATTTTCTGCTTGGCGATTCTTTCCCATTTGAGACCTATTTGAGATATGAACGTTATGATTTCCTCCTGCGTAAGTTTGCGGAAAAATTCATTGAAGTGGGTCACTCTACTTTGCTCGAGTTTCTCCAGAAGTTCTGTGATATAACAATTTGGCTTGTAGGAGTCGAATCTAGAGTCGCTTGCGTCACTGGATTTGCTTCAAGATCTGGAAGCAGAGGAGCGTGACAACATAGCCGGCAATCTCTTCGCACGCTCCATAACTGTCTATCTGTGAATAGGTCCGGTGCCATTTACAGAGTTTTGCAGAAGCACACAATTGGTTGTAAAATAACCAATAGAATGAATGAGCCAATGAATTTTATCCAACCAAACTGCGTTTCTCATCCCATCTACTACGACGAACCGGTCTGACTACCCTCCACCAAAGCACTCAGTGATATGATTGGTCTTCGGCCATTGGATGCCATCTCGCCCCATGTCCTTCGGCACTTGCACATTAATTACCTTACTTGGGGAAGCCTCATAGGTATGATATCACTTAATCGTGAGAATACTACTTTCATACTGTATGCTCTAAACTATCTCCAGTATGACACACCGGTTTTTGAGACTAACGAGCATATTAGTAAATACATTTATTAATAAGGGCATGATAGAATACGTCTTTAATCCTTTCGTAATTGAGAGGATAGGTGCGAATTAATATATATATATATATATATATATATATATATGTTACCAATAACCCACCTTAATTACAAAAAGTGTTAAATATAACCCACCTTAAATGCAAATAGAGCCATACTTCGAAAGGTTTTTTTACAAGTCTCAATTGTGTTGGGAAACCGACTTCACTTACTCCCAATAGCTTACAATTGGAATCGTCAAATTGATTATTATCTACTAAATGCCACATCCCCAGTAGACGGTAATAGCAAAATAATTTTAACCATCCCACTGGCAAATGATACGGGGAGATACGACTTGTGCCGTTTAGAACTTAGTGTT